CCCCCCCCGGCCCCTCCCCTAGATCCGCCACTGCATATGTCGTTGTGAAAACCAAGCTTCAAACAAATTGCCCTAACTTTTCAAATACCGCACTTACATGAAATCCAGTCCAACCAATCCCGTCCTCGCTGAATCTTAGACCTCTGGTATCTAGATTTCGATGTGATTTTCTTTGTACCCCGTCAAATAAAGTAACATTAATTCTTGAAATAAATCTTCGATAAAGCAGATCGAATTCCAACCAAGGTGGATTCTTGCGTTTATGCCTTTCAAGGCACCATTTCGTCTCGGATCCCTTTCCATCTGTTCCATAGTACTTTAGGTACCTCTGTTCAGTACAAAAAAAAAAAAAGACAAAAAAAAGTCGCTCAGAAAAAGGTGACCGGCACAGCCAGTGCCAAACAGCTTACACAGCGATTATTCTCTAGGACAATATCCCCACTTGCCTTAAAGTAGCTCAGTCACAGTATTTTGAGTTAGTTTGGCAACATACACAAAATTACATTTAAATTGAAGGAAACCTGAAAATAATAGTTTACCAAGATAGAAAAACACTAAAGAGATAATAATAAACCATAAAGGAACACGGATGGCTGAGGATGGAGAAGATTTACATGGATTGGAAACGACGAAGTTGAAAAATTTAGGCCTAACTTTTCAAGATGCACGAACTGTAACGTAGCTCCCTTAAAGATCTCAAAGCCTTCAACTTCTCTAAAAAACTGAAATTTTATTTACTGTCTCAACAACACTCTGAAAATTTTACCATGTACACGTCTTCTCTGAACAGTTCTGTATTTTCTTAAATATCTATAGGAACCTTACAATAATTGGAGACTGGCTAGAAAACTTTCGGGTCACTTCAACTCAAGAATCAAATTGTACATTTTTTTCTGTCCTTCTATTTATATGGATTTGTTTAATTTGTAAGCGTGCGGGTGAAAAAAGTTGTTGTTGTTGTTGTTGCAAAGTCAGATAAACAAATATCGCTTGTACAGAATGCGAACAAACAGGTTGTTTCCCAAACGTGGAGTAATGTGTAGATGGTGGCAAGTTTCTCGAAAACTATTTTTTACAGATAACGATAATCACTGAAAAGTATTATTAAATGTTACTTACGGCTGAATTGAGCGTCAGCTGCCAGTATTGTACGTCAATTTGATTAACATAATGACAGTCAGCTGTAAAGACAAGTGAATTGATAAATTTAAGATCTTTTCTTCTTTGCTGTACATGCTTCTATGTATAGGTAATCGTGTAAATGCAAATGCAATTAAGGATCTACACTACGACTGATATTTGAAAATTCTCTTAAAATTGCATATATGAGCCTTACGGCGAGTACAATTTGAAAGAATTTTCAAATATCACTCGATTACTCATTTATTATATGACTGAGAAAATTGCGAACGCGCGCGCGTTACTTGGCCTTTCAGTGTAAATTAATAATAAATGATAAATTGGCCTGCTCTCAGCCGATCACAATGAAGTAATTTCTCAGTTACATAAAAAATAATTTCACCTCGTAAATACACATTTTTCTAAGAACAAGAAAATGGCACGCGCGGCATATTAGAAATCAATTCTGCTTAGATATCCTGACATTTACGATCTTTTTTCGCCAATTACAATGCTCGATAAGATATGAAAAATGCAAAAACGACGCAGAATTGATAAATAAATTGAATTTTTTAAAGTTTCGTAACTTTAAAGTGTTTTTCCTACCTATGTTTATGGATCTTTGTGGTTGCATTAGTTGTATGTTACCCATGGCCCAGTCTAGAAGAACAGGAAACAACGTCAACAAACGAAAAAAATCGTCAGTGGTCTGGCTATTAAGTGCCCTTGACATTCTTTGCACGTTATAAGGAAAAGATCTCGAAGTCTAAACACTCATCTTTGCTGTAAGACTACTGTATCACGAACAGCACTTCTCGGCAAATTTTGCTTAAGTTTTTCTTTTCGAATTTTTAATCCATCTTTTAATTTAAAACCCCTCCACATCTTAGCTCGCCTCGTTACCATGGGATTGACTTTAAATCTTAACTGTAACATCTGTGTTGTTTTTATTAATTTGTCAACAATTATTTTAATTTTTTTTGGTAGTTTTATGTGCATTGTCAAAAAATGGTTTGACTTGTCGCTACTTGCCTTTGCCGCACTACTCACGTGACTCGCATCCATACAACTCCATACTAAGACACTGATGACGTCGCCACGCGTGAATCCTCAGGCGGAAAAATCGCGCGTGTAGGAGAGGATCGAAAGACTGGTAACCAGCCCTGGCCTCGAACTCATTTTTACGGACAGACTTGTCTTCTCGTATGGTGTGAAAATGCTGAAATACAAAAAAAAAATTATGTCTTTATACCAATAAATTTAAAGGTAAACATTTGGAACAGATAACAAGGAAACAGCAAACAGACTGCAACGGTTTGTAGAAGTGCAAACTAGCAGCTTAAGCGCAGGCTAACATTTCAACTTTTTCTATCCACAGAAAGTTTAAATCTTCTTCAATAGTAATCATACTGTCCACGTGCGAAAAATTTTACTTTTATTTCTACCACCAAGTGCTTTAAAACTCAATGGAGACGGTTTAAGAACCATGTACTTTGATAACATGGTGTTTTGTTGTTGGGCGATACACTTTACTCTCACAGAGCTTCGTTCTTCTCCTAAGAGCATGAACGGCGCGCGGTGCGGCTAGCGGCCAATCGGCGCCAAGGTAATTTGACTGCAAAATACTGAGGTAAACGATCGTTGGACTAGCATCCCATCCGGAGGGACTAGTGATAGTCTTAGCTGCTTCATGCTGCAGAAACCGAGTTTAATGAGACTTCCATCAGCAGTTAGGGACTAATATCTCTTACCCGAGGCAGGCCATTCTCATCTTTAATCACAGTCCAAAGCCGGCCGTCAGGGCTAAATTCTACACTGTAATGAGTGACTCTGGAATTCCATTCTACATCCGGGGGTGCTTTACTATGGCCCCATTTCCATCCTTCTATAAGAACCCCTGAAATCAGCTTCATTGAACCTATCAGGAGCAGAGGTGCCAGAGAAGGAAAATACAATAAAAAAGTCACAATCGCTAAAAATAACATTTTACTGTACACCCGAATTCACTTGTGTTTTGTTTTATCAATGTATACTTTATTATCTAACTGATAAACTTATTTGATTATCCTCGTTTCTTGAGAAATTTTGTTCTAAAAGGGCGTGACCAACTTATACGAGTCTGACATGAATTCGTCTCAGTATTTTAAAGCAGTTTAATCCTTCTATGTTCCGATGATAGTCCGAGACTTATACGATGATAACCCAGGTTGGTTGGACTATATTCTGAGGCTTATCCGACGATATCCGAGCTATTTGGGATAATCCAATAACAGCCCGAAGCTAATCCGACGATGATCGACGGTTATCCGACCAGAGACTAAGACTAATCCGACGAATATCCGACGATAATCCCGAGCTAGCTGATCTATTATTGTCGGAGCTAGTGTACTCCGACGAAAATCCTAAGCTGGCGTGATCGATGATAATCTGGGACTGCTCGATTACAATTCGACGATAATCGCATGTAAGGCCAATGAAATTCCGAGGTTTTACCCAACGCCCGAGCTAACACTAATACTCCAGGCTAATTCGACGATAGCCGCAAACTAGTTCGTCGAGAATCCGAGGTTAGTCCAACAACAATTCCGTACTAGTCCAATTACAGTCCGAGGATAATCCGACAGTCCATAATACCACGCTACCCCTTTGAAGGATAGCGGAAAATAGTAGGTTTACCCAGGTCCACTTGTACCCATTCCCCAAAGCGATTGCCTGAAGAGGTGCACCATGGATCTCCATCTTTCACAACTCGGCGTCGGTCTCCATATTTGTCGTGCTCAGAGGAAACTCTGATGTGTCGGCCCGGATGAAAACCTTCGCTTCTCAGCAAACGTTTCATGCAGTCTGCGAACAGTATAAACAAGTTGTCATTATTAGTTACTGTGCTTTAATAGAAAGCATGCAGTTTCTTGATGCTTTCAGTTGGTTTGTTTGCTCAGTTGGAAGAGAATTGCACCGGTTTTGGTTAGGGCTGAATTTTTTCAGGAGTTATTTTCGCAACTATCTAAGTCGAGCACAAAACTGCGATGATCTCTCTCTTAATATGGCTTAAAATGTTTGAAGTTATCGAATATTTTTTCCAACTTACAGGGCGTATCCTTCTTGTACATCGGGATCCAATATTCTGCATCGACAATGGATAGAAAGGAAGTGAACAGTAAAAGAGAAAAGACGATTGCTGATCGCATGTTGACAAAAATAAGCAAAGGTGTTTTGACGTAATCAAAGAAAGAAATGCATGTCGCAACAAATAGAAAACTTTGCACGAAAGCGCGCGCTCTGAGATAATGCGTGGAGGGTCTGTAAAAGGAAAACATGTTGGGAACATAAACCTCGCGCTGTTTTTACAAATGTTTTTATATTCTCTAATTATGATTTTTTTTTTTCGATTTCTATGTATGTATAAAACAAGGATGAAATGTTTTTTTAATTTTTTTTTTCCGAAGGGAGAGGGGTAAAGGAAATTGACACCAACCGAGGACAAACTTTAGGGAGCAGCAAGAACCTTCTCGGCTCAAGAGGTAAAGAGTTAAAATTTTGTTCTCACTTCTATTTTAGTCTAGTTAACCAGCATTTGAAAACGTTTGCAGAGTACGACGCATTTTTGGTTCATCAAAACACAAAAAGAAACACCCTGAAGCCATTTGTCGTATTATTCTTTCAGTCTCATTACAAATTCTACTCGGTTGTTGAGCTAAAACAATGTCTGTGTGGGAGGTCATTTTGAAACAAAGGAGATATTGAGTGTTGCCTGTGGGTAGAACGTTTAATTAATCAAAAAAAGTGTTTTCAAAGACAAACTATTGAAATGACCTAGCTTTCAGCGCGATGCGATGAACATCTTTGCTAAGAGCGAGCAAGAACGGGCGAGCTTATTTCACCTCCCCTCTTGTTCAGTACAAGAGGGAAACTTGCAGCACAAATACTCAGCCAAGAATTTCTAGCTCGTTCTAATTTCTTCACCCACGCGTGTCGTCCTCTTCATGAACACTTTACATTCTAATAAACCTCCAGCTGATAAAGTGCATATTGTT